AACTTCATCTGTTTCATCTTTGATCCTATGGTTGTTTGTATGCATGTGACATCTGTGGAAATGGTAGAACAAGTGTAGATTTACAAAGCTTCTTCATTCCTTGAGAAATAGCACTCATTGGCAGCCAACCTCAAATATTTACAAGGTAGGTTTTTCTTTGTAGGTTTTTTTGTGTGTGTGTCTGTGTTTGTGTCTCTGTGTGTGTATTAATTTGTGGATAGGCAGCAGGATAATCTGCTTCAGCAAGTCTGCTCTTCATGTATTCCTCAGACTTAGACAGCACACAGTGTTCTTCCACCAAAGGATGCCTTGAGGCAGAAGCTCCATCCACTGCATGATTCCTCTTAACAAAGAAGTGCTTGATCTCTGAAGAGTCACCTATTCTTGACATTACTGAAGGCTGACGGGTGGTGAGAGAATAGAGGGGGAAAAACAGGTGAATTGAAATGTGTTAGTTATGAAAGGGGTGTTTTAATTTACTAACATTCTTTAAAAGAGATGTATCACTCCATATTTCAAAGTGCTGAACAAAGTGACTTGTGAATCCTGTAAACATGTAGCTAACTTCAGAGATTCAAGTAGGATTTCTCACTTCTTCCTGCTGAAATATTTATTTCAGTAATACAGTGCTGCAAGCTTGTTATTGAGTTTTGCCTTTAGAATGGAAGAGATACATGCTCTTACCTTACAGTGAATGAATAAGAAAAAGCTTTGATTTCCTGTTTTTCTTTTTTCTTTTTTCCCCCTACGAGTGGGAATTCTTTGTTGCTAGAGCACTAGATAAACCTGTGCTACTATTTATTTATTTATTTATTGCTGTTTGTTGTTTATCAGTTTACTCAACTGTACAAAAAATTGTGGAGGAGTTGTGTTGGGATATTTCGGGAAGATTTTTGTTAAAGTGAGGTAAGGTATTTTTGTTTGCAATGATGTTTCTATATCCTTCCAATATATAATTGGAAGGATTGGAAAAGCTTGCTTCTTTTGGAGAGGATTATGTAGTAGCCAAGATATATACAACCAAGAGATTCTTCAGCTTTTGCTTTTGACAGTCAAGTGGCTAGAGATGATAAGCAAAACTAAGGACACACTAGAGATCACATGCAAGACTCTACTTTGCAGGACAGCTTCTAAGCATTTAAATTGGATATAAGAAAAAAGTTCTCTTTAATGATAAGAGTAGGGAGGTACTGGCAGAGGATGCTGAGAGAGGTGGGGATGCCTCTGCCATGGAGACATGAAAAGCCAGATTGGACACGTCTCTTAGCACCTAATGTAGTAGTAGGTATCCCTGTTCATTTCAGATGAGATGAACTAGATGGCCTATAAAGGTCCTTTGCAACTCAATTTTATAATTCTGTAACATAGATAGTACTCATCTCAGAAAGTCGGTGGGCACAATGGGGGAGATAAAAGCTGGGATGAAAGGGGTACTGTTTTTGTTTTATCTTACAGATTATCTTGCACACAGAAGGACCTTAAGAGATCATTGGGTCCCATCCCCCAAGCTGACTTGTGAAGTTTTTCCAAGATGCACAGCAAAATGTGGAAAAGCTTGTCAACCCTATCTTTCATTTTGTTATGAAATACTGAACATTCTTCCTGCCAGATCTCTTCATTTTTTATTTAAGTACTGTTTTACCACAGGTAGACAAATCATATGAAAGCTTTCTCATTTCTGCTGATGTGCTCATCACTTACTCTGGAAACAGACCTCTTAAGAATGATACAAAAATCTTTATTTTCTGCTGTTGCGCATTGCTTACACTTAATACTAGCATGTAAAGATGAATGTACAGAATGTACAGTATTATGAGTTCATGCAATTTTCATCTCAGGCTTTGGGGACCTTGTTAGTGTATCTTGCAAAATAATAAATAAATTATTTTTAGTGTGCAGTTCTTTGCATTGCTTTTTATCAGTGAGGACTGATGCTTCATCCTCTTTATCATCACACAAATAGAAGACCAGCTCTTTACTTTCTGTTATAAACAGCCTACGTTAAAAAGAAAGCCTCTTGTGGAGGTTGTTTTCAGTGAATGCAGCTCTGCTTTGTGATGAGAATCAAATGCAACAAAGAAAAATTCCCTGTTAAACTATATATATTTGCATTATTGAGTCCTGAGCTGTCTCTGTGGGTTGCATGCAACTGTTTTACAGCCTTTAATTAAAAAGGAACAATTAAAGCCTTTTTACTAGTCTTTTGGAGAATGACTTATCAAAATATTTTGTAAAAGACTCTGTAATGTTCCAGAACAAGCTAAAAGAGGAAGGTAGTCCAGCAGGCAAAGGAAAATGTATATCTATATTCTTAAACATACTATACACATTATTTGTGCTTCGTGCCATGTACTTTTATTGACCCATTGGTCAGGCCATTGGTGCTCTACAAATCTTTAAAAGGACTTCAGTTCCATATATAGTAATTTACAAGGCCTTATTCCTCTAAATATTTCATTTGCTGTTACTGTTTACTGTTGCATAGGCATACTTTAGAGTTGTAGAAATGACCACCATTAATTGGTGATAGAAATAAAATATTCTTGTGGAGGACTTAAGCTAATTTTTCAATATGATTTTTACATTACACTTTAGTCTCCGGTACTCCTTCAGTGAATAGAAACTCGGAGTATGGCATCTGTTATAGTATAAACAGTGGTAGTCTATGGATATAAATAATAGCTGTCTCTTATACTGTTGTTAAATAGAGTTTATGCCTTGTTATATGTTGATGATTTATCTCCTCCTCCTACCATGGGTTTTGAATCATAAGCTCTTTCCAAAAACATTCTAAGCAGCGTTAACCTTAAGTTTTAAGCTGAAATAAAGTTAGCTCTTTGCTAGTTTGTGATGGAAAATGTTATGTATAATCAGGAATGCTAGAAGTACCTAGTGACTTGTTCCAGCCATAGTTCAGTCTGGCACTCACAGCAGACTCTTTATGTGATGTTCCTTTTATTGTTTAGAAATGCAATTTGTTAGTCTAAGTTGATCAGTATTGTGGTTTAATTGGCCATCCGAAGTAGTTAATTTATGTTATTGACAATGCGGTTCTTGTTTAGCTGTTAATACAGCCTTGTGCTTGAAACACAAGTCTTATATTCATGTATTTTGCTGCTTTTGTCCAGACAGTGCCTGGAATTCAAGGGAAAGGCATTTTTTAAGCATAGTTGTGTAAAGATCAGACAGTGTGGGCAACTGCAGTTAAAACTTCTCCTGAATTCACTTCTTGGGAAGCCAGTGATATCTAGATCTATCTCTCAATATACGTAAGCAAAGAGCTCACTACTGCTCCTTCTTGAGGAACAAGGTTCCTTTGGAACCTGAACTGGTGCTGATCATGGAATCACAGAATTGCCGAGGTTGGAAAAGATTTCCAAAGATCATCCAGTCCAAGTGTCCACCTATCACCAATATTTCCCACTAAACCATGTTCTTCAGTACAAGACCTGTATTTCTCGAGCACCTCCAGGGATGGTGACTCCATCGCTTCCCTGAGCGGCCATTGCAGTGTCTGACTACTTTCAAAGAAGTTTTTCCTAATGTCCAATGTGTCGTCTTTGGTGCAACTTGAGGCCATTCCCTCTAGTCATTTTGCTCATTACGTGGGAGTAGAGACTAACCCCTTCTCTCCACAGCCTCCCTTCAGATACTTGTTGAGAATAATAAGGCCTTCCCCGTGCCTCCTCTTCTCCAGTCTGAACAATCCCATCTCCCTCAACCGCTCCCCACAAGGTCTGTGCTCCAGGCCCCTCACCAGTTTTGTTGACCTTCCCTGGTCGTACTCTAGGGCTTCAATGTCTTTCATGTAGTGAGGGGCCCAAAACTGAACACAGTACTTGAGGTGTGGCCTCGCCAAAGCAGAGTACAGAGGGACGATGGCCACCTTGCTCCTGCTGGCAACACCATTCCTGATGCAAGCCAGGATACCATTGGCCTTCTTGCCCACCTGGGCACACTACTGGCTCATGTTCAGCCGAGCATCAACTTACTCTCCCAGGTTGGTTTCTTCCTGGTTACCTAGTGCTACATTATGGATGGAAACCTAGATAGAATTGTTTGTAGTTGCCACCCACCCAAGTTTATTCTATTCAGTGCATATAGTCCCTTTTCTCATTCGCTACTTTCTTCCTTAAAATCAAAAAGGTCCCAAACCATGGAGCACCACAAAACAAACTGTTCAAATGTTCAAGTACTAGACAGTATGAGGTTTTATCAATGAAAATACTGTATACCAACATTAACTTCAGAATTGACTGCTTCTTCATTGTTCCGTGGGGCAGATTATAAAAAGTTGTTATAAAGGTTTTGAATACAGTGACAGTCATTACTGTCAGGCTAGGCTACTTATAAAAATATATGGCATAATATTCATAAGATCTTTTGTCAGCTGCAGATTGATAAGTTGCTCTGGTGTTGTGGGGGGAGGGGAGAGAGAGGGCGGAAACACTGTAACATCATAAGTTTAGTTCTCTTTAGTATTCATCTTTAAAATTAATTTCTTTGATTCTCAGTGGCAATCAGTGCTGTAAATGTGTTGCAGTGGAGCTTCGTAGTGTTGTCTCAAGCAACAGTATTCCAACTGAGTATTAATTATTTTCAATCATATTCCATGTGTTGTATGTTGGATGATAGTGAACAATGAAGTTAAAATAGAGGGGGAAATGATCAAATAGTCCCTAAATAAGAAACTAAGCCTCAGGAAGCAGAGGAATGCAAAGTTAGTATAGTAATTTTGCCCAGCTTCCTGACACTTAATTTCTTATTTAGGGACTATTCAAATATATTTGATTGTTGACACTTTTACTTAAACCTTAATTGTTTTAATCCAGTTTTCTGTTTGAAAACATCAGTAGTTCTCTGAAAAACTGTATTTGTGGAGGAAAGCTAAGTGTACTAAATGTACCTTTCCCCCCTCCCCACCCAATCTACATAATATTGCTAAGTATCTCAGAAAATATGCCATTGATTGTAATAAGTTTCTGTTGTGTCCGTAACAGGTGACTGGAAAATGGAGAAAACTTTGATCAGAATTCATCCAGTTTCTGATCCAGAAGCAGAGTATTTTCTACAAGTATCATGGGAAAAAGATATAAGCAGTGGCTTTGGTATAATACTTACCGATGGTGAATATGCATGGACTGGGACAGGTAATAATGAAAAGAAAACTGTTTAAAATTATACTGTTCTTTTTTTACTATTGTTAAATACCTTCTAGTCTGTGATCCACAACTTGCATCAAAAAGATTTTATAATTATCATCTCACTGAGGAAGAAGATTAGATTTATGGTCTTCTGGGACATGCTCAGATATATGTGATATCTGGAAAATGTATATGTCAAAACTGATACTAATCTATTAGCATATAGGTATGCTATGTTTTGTTCATGCTTACTAATACAATTCCTTGCAGTGATATTGCGTCATCATGTGTATGTCTTCAGATTCTTGAATAAACGTGTAATACAGTTAACATTTGCAAACTGTAGTTCATGAAGCATTTATTTACAAATATTTTCTTGATAGGTTTGTTAAGATATTAACAGTTAGAGGTTACTGTGCTTGGTACTCAACTGCATTTTTGAGAATGTTAAAATACCAGAATTTTATTCCCGGTGGTAAATTAAAAAGAAAAAAAAACAAAAACAAAAAAACACTGCCTGTGGCATTTTTTCCCACTGAGAAATGTGAACAAAAGGGTGGATTTCTTAGTATGTGTATGTTTCCTTCGTTCATGTCTAGCGAAAGAAGAAAGGATTTGTGTGTTTCTTTAGACATGTGTTGGATACTTGGTCCAAATGTTTCAGAGGAAGGAAAGAATGATGTGTTTTACACAGCAAAACACAGGCAAAAACATTTTTCTGACTCTTTTTTTCTAAATTATGAAAGCATTTATCTGAGTTGTTTCTTCTTTTCCTCTGTGTTCCGGACCTTGTTTGTCCTTGGTACTTTCATAACCCAAACTTTCAAATAGGCCTGTTGTTTTTTAGTGTTTAATCTATTACCTTGTGTATTACAAGAAGCTTTGTCATTCCTTAGCTTTCTCTTAAATGTAACTTTTATCTTTTTTTTCTTTTCAAACCTAGGAAGTGAGTCTAATTTAAAATATGTGTATGTATGCACTAAATCTTCCTCTTCACAATTCTTATAACATTTTAAATATTCTATTGATTAAGAGTCCCTACATAGGCTAAATGCATATATTCAAATATTGGCTCCTGTAGTTTAGTATAAAAGTTTTTTTTTTTTAATTTTACAGTCAAATATTCAAATTCTTTATTTTCACAATAATAGCAAAGATGTTAACATTGATAAATGAGGATTCCAGTACTTTTGTTTAAAAGCTTTTTTTTATGCTGTTACAGTAAGGAAAGTAGTTAACACTAAAATAAGCAGCTTAAGATTCACACACACACAAAAAAGTTGCTTCTTAAGTCTATACTTTCTTAGTAAAGCCTAGAGTAACTTTAGCAGGGAGAGTATAGAAAAAAATATGTATACACAGTTCTTGTTTCAGTAACTTCCTGCATCTGGCAGAACTGCTGGATAGTAACTTCCCAAAAGAGAAGACCAGTGAAAGCAAGATGATTTTATACTGTTAGATGATGGGGGTAAAAGGAACAGTTTAGATGAGCATTGGGTACTCATTCAAAGGAGAATGCCTTTCTTCCTTTTCTCAGAATCAGATCAATTTCTTAGGAATTCATGTGAGATTCATAGTCCTTTTAGTAATTTTAATTGAGAATTGAAATTCTTGTGCACAAGGCTTTCCTGCTGCATCTGTCTGTCTTCATGCACTCGCTGTTGCTTTGGATCACCTTTTCTTAGTTATTACGTCATTCTTGAAACTGCCTAGGTACCAGATTCAAAATGTGGGAGAACAGAAAGCAGTGGTCAGAAAATTCTTGCTGTGGGAAATCCCTTTTGGGTTTTTCATGTTGTGGATTATTTTGCTTGGCAAGACCTACCAGGAAATGAATGAGAGTTGCTGATGGATTTGTCTTTTATGGTTTCAGTATATTCAGAATGATGATGTCTTATTTAGAAAACAAAACACTGTAAAATCTTCAGGGGAAGAGAAGTACACTAGTATAGATTGTGTTATGTTCACTTGGCATTAAGTTAAAGAACTGCAGTGAGAAGCATTCATAAATCTGACGTTTCTCTAAAAATTGTTGTGTTTTTTTTTTTTTAATCTGACAGTTTTAAAAGATAAGGGAATACACTGCAAGAGCACAGCAATAGGAAAAAAAATCCTAGTGCTCTTTACAGTGTGTTAGTATGTCTGGGTTTTTTTGAGCTTGCTTGATCAGTGTTGTAGGCCCCATTCTTCACTGGCTTGTAGGCTCGTTTATTTGTACCTATCAGTAATTTTACTCTGTTGTTTTCTACATTAACATTAAAAGTGCTGCTTTTAGATTTAAACAGAAAATGCAGCAGACAGTTATTAAAATCTGAACTCTTCCTAATGACATCTGGTTTATGCTTAAAATATTTTATTTAATCTTACAAAATGCTTTTACTACTTCATCTATAGAGACTTGCGAGTTGTGGCTTAGTTTGAGCATGACTGACTTGGCTAAGAATCAGGTAGGGCAGAATTGGTAGCGTGTATAGTGGCTAGTGTGAGTTTACAGCTCTCGCTGCAGTGCTATGTATGATGGCACAAAGTCTTGTTCTGAAGATCATGCCTGTCAGTCTTAATGTGTGAGGATTAATACTCAACTAACCTTGACTTCATGCTGGCTTGTTTGTAGGTCTTTCCATATTTGTGGTGCTGCATGCTATTTTCTCACTTGTTCATGTCACCTGTATGCCACCTGCAGATGTATCTGGTTGTTATGCAGCATTGCAGCTAAACATTTATGTACTGTGACTTTTCACACAAAGTCCAATTTGTAGGACAAATAACAGCTGGCAGTATATGTGGCCTTCTATCTTAGTTTTTCTGATGCATTAGGAAGGGGCTGGACATATTAGAAATAAAGATGAGATGTCCTTACAGTGGTGGGAAAAAAAATCTGTTTATTTCCTTCTGTCTTCCCCTCTTCCTCCTGCCTTTCTTTCTTGTTACCTTGCATAACAGTATTTAAGCCCTAGGTTAGAAGAACGTGAGCTTACAGCCCTCTTCATTCTGCTTGAATTTTTATTATTTTATTGTGGAAACAAATTTGGAAAGTGTGATGATAAAGTAAGTAAAACCATGTTCTTAAAACATTGATAATATGATTTCAACCTGTACCTTATTATGTGTCTCAGTACTTCCAGTGCCGTAAAGTTCACCAGTATTAACTGTTATATATAATTTTCTATTACATTTGCTGTAACAGAGAGCAAAATACAATCTTTATTTCAGGAAGGACAGATTTTGAGTTTACAAATCTGTAGGGTTTTGCATGTTATAACCGTCTGTCTCCTGGCCAATTTTTCCCCACCCTCCTCATTTTGAAAAATTGTTTTTACCCCATTAGCTCTAATATAAATAGTACAACTTGAAACGTAGGGATAGAAGCATCTTCTCCCATCTAGAAATGCTGATAATGAGGAGTGATTTATTTCTAGTCTTCTCGTGCCTATTCTGCAGCACTCCTGTATAAAAAATCGCTACATTTAGGTCTTTATGTTAAGCTAATTTGAATGTGACAGCTTTACAATTTTCTCTTTCCAAATGGGGTGAGAATACTCAACCAGTTAAAGTATCCAGGGAAGTTTGTGACAAAATTCAGACTGACACATGTGGCTTTTCATATCTGAGTGTGACAGAGACTGACTTGATTATATTTGTTGAGTCCCAATCAATTATTTATTTTTCTTAAAAACTTAAAAGCTCTGAGGCAGCTCAGTTCCTATGCATCCTTTTTGCTTTCTAGCTTCTACAGATTTGAATTTGCCTAAGGAAAAAATGCCTGGTGCTAGCTAGTGGATAGCTAATTTGATTCTGACACTAATGTATCATTTTGACTGAGTACATCTCCAGGCTCAGATTTTCCACAGGTGGGAATACTTTGTCCTTGTGTCAACAATTTATTTGCTTGTGGTTGTAACATTAGCATGCTGTCTTTTGCCATCTGCATCTCCTTTTTCACCTGGCTATTGTCTTTTGTCTTACAAGGTAACAAACAGGTGCCTTAATTACTGACCTGCCTTATCAGATTTTAGAGTCATACAATAATTAGGTTTTTTGTGTGTGCACAAGTAATCAATTTATTTGTGAATAGTAACCTTTGTAACTAATAATCCTGTATCATAATGTGATCTTTTGTTAAAAGGAAAAGAAAACAAAGAAAAACCCACAATACAACCCTCCCATTCCTTCTTTCACCCCTGAAATAGCAATTTAAAAAACAACAACAACAATAAAACCCTTCACAAAAAAAAAAAAAAAAAAAAAAAAAAAAAGTTAAATCTAAGATAAGGAAACTGCTCAATTTCCATATTTTATGATGTTTACATGGAGCTAAAGAAAGAACTTGCTGGATATGTAAAAGTTGAGAATGGCTTTTGCTTGCAGTGGTTATTGAGCTTTGAAGCTCAGGATCCTGAGAACAGAGTAAAAAAAAGGGTTCATGACCCTAGATTACAGAAAAGCAAACTGTGACCTGTTCCAATATCTCTTAAAAGGAATTCCACTTATTACAGATTTGGAGAAGAGAGAGATTTTTGATATTTTTGAGGATCACCTCTTCCAAGCTCAACAATGATTTATTTCAATGGAAAATGAAATGAAGCAAAGGTGTCAGGAGCCCTGAATGCATGAGAAAGGAACACCTTCCTAAACCCGACATAAAAAGCAAATTCACAGGATGTGGCTGTAGGAGCAGATGACTAGAGACAGCTATAAAGACAGTGTCTTAGCATGCAGGGATAGGGTTAGCAGTCAGAACCCACCTGGAGTAGCGTGTGACAAGAGATGTGAAAGGCGACTAAGGCTTCTTCTGATTTATCTGCAGCACAAAAAAAAAAAAAAAAGAGAGAAAAGGCTGCTTTGGAATGGGACAGGGAAACTGGTGACAAAAAGTATGGAAAAAACTGATGAATACTCACCATTATAGGAGGATTGGATTGAAGAATATCTTAAGAAATTGGACTTGTACAAATCTTTGGGGCCTGATGGGCAGAGACAGTATGTACTGAGGGATCTGGCCCAAGTCATTATGAGGCCAGTCTTGATATCTTCACAGGATGCTGTAGATGAAGGAAGACTTGTTAGGTCTAAAAGAAACATCTCTTCTGCCTTCTGGAATTCTGATAAGCTGGATCTGGACAACTAGAAGCTAACTAGCCAGAGGGTGTTAGAACAATAATCCAAGAATCCATTTCCAATAATATTAAGGATGAGAAGATAAGTAGTGTAGGCATGGACTTACAGATGGAAAATCATGCCTTATCCACTTGACAGCTTTCTCTGGTGTAATAGTTAGCTTATTGAATGAATAGAAGGATGGGAATGTTGTTCACATTGAGTTTAGCTGGCAAGGCATTTAGTGCTGTATCCTATAACATCCCCGTGGTGAATTGCAAACTGAGTAAGTGAACAGGTGAATGTAGAAATGGATTGAGTTCATCCAGTTCAAACAGTTTTTGAAGGGTTGTGATCAGTGGCATGGAGTCTAACTAGAGGCTTTGTACCTCAGGAGTTGATAAAAAATCCCATACTGTTAACTACTTTATTAATCACTTGGATGATGATATGCTGCATCCTTAGCAAATTTTCAGATGATGTAAAAATAGCAGGAGAGTTTGAGGTACCAGAATATTCGTGTTTCCATTCATAGTGGCTTGGATGGGCTGGGGAATTGGGCTGACAAAAACTTCAAGAAATTCAGCAAAAGGAAATGTGAAGTGGAAATGCAAATACACCTCTGGAGGAGGAATAAGCCCTTAGTCTGCACTGATGCCTGCACTGTGTTGTCTGGCTGGTTGTAGGTACTTTGTCAAAGTGTTGAATATGGTCCAGCCTTGTGGCAAATAATATCAGAAGTCTCCTGGGCTGCTTTAAGAGGAGCAAGGAGTAGATCATCCTTCACTGGGCAGATGTGGTACTGTGTATAGTTCTGGGCTTCCCAGCAGCAGATATGAACTTCATGAATATACTGGAGTCAAGTAGTAGTTGCTGAAGATGATTGAAGGACTGGATCTTCCACCTTTCAAGGAGAAAGTGGAAGAGCTGTGACTGTGGAGCCTGGAGGAAAAAAAGGCTTAGGGAGATTGTATTAATGCGTGTAAGCACTGATGGGAAATAGTAAAGAAGACAGAGTAAAGCTCTTAGTAGTATCCACTGACAGAACATGAAATAATGTGCACAGTTTAAAATACAATGAATTATTATTATTTTAACAGTAGGAATGACCAAACACCAGAACAGCTTGCACAGAGAGTTAGTCCTTGGAGATACTTAGAATGCAGTTGGACATAGTCCTGAGCAACCTCTGTAACTGACCATTCTTTGAGCAGGGGGATTGGACTAGACAATCTCTCAGAAATACTGAACTATGTGAGGATGTGGCTTACCAGCTAATAGTTATACATTTACCCCCCTGCTGTATGATTAGATGATGGATAGATTTGATAAGTGCTGCCTTCTTTGCAGTATGAGATTAACTACTGTGTCTAGATGAAAATAGAAGAAAAATGAGGCAATTTAAACAAGCTCATTTTGGCTTGAAATGCTGGTCTATTTCCATCAGTAGAACTTCAATATATGCACAGGTTTATGTCTTAAAATGAAATTATATTCAGATGCATTTGTACAAAGAAGAAATATTGCTACAGGCCATTTTTTTAAAGTCACTTGTAGTTTTGTTAAGGATGTGTTTTTGCTTTGTTTTGTTTTGGTTTGTTTTTTTTTTCAGGCTGTCACAAACTAATCTCCTTTTTCATATTTTTTTCTCTTAAATACTGGACAAATGCTAGAGAAGTCTAAGAATCAACTAAGATAAATGACATTCTAGAGCAGTCTTCCTCAGAAGATTGGTCAGAAGTGTAGGGAACACTGCATGAATCAAGTAAAGAATTGAAAATAATGGACTATCCATTTAAGCACGCACTACATTATAGAAATACTGCCATAACTTAGAGTCTTTGCTTACATCTGCTAAAGAAAAATTCATTGAGTTCATTTTTCTAATTAACATATGATCTCTAGAAGTATTGTGGAAGCAGTTTTAAGAATGAATTATAAAGGAAGGAAAAACACTGAGGTCTCAGATGGTAAAATAATGACATTCTTTTTTTTTCCTGGTTAGGGAAGGAAAGACTTGGTGAGTTGCTTTTCAGTTTGAGGGTTAACTGAAAGAAGATATAAGAAGAAATAAATATGTTAGCAGATGGGAAAGGCCCATCATTGTTCTTAAGGATTGCACGTTGGCTTGTTTTGCTCTGAATGCAACTGTTCTTTATCTTCAAAGGAGGGGAATAAAATTTTCGTAGTACATTTGATCTAATACAAAGTGGGGAAACATCTCCCATTTAGTGGGTCATGTATTTAAACAGTACAACATGGATTCTCATGCATATTCATTTGTAAACTGACAGTTTACTTTTTTGTAAGATTACAAGTAATGAGTTTGGAAGAAGTAAAGTAAAAATACGCAAGGTGACAGTTGTCTGTCTACTGCTTGGGGTTAACACATTCAAAGAAAAATAATAGAACATATGAGTGTTTGTCTTTAGGGATATATAAATATACGTATTTGTTCACATATGAATATTACTTTCTCTTTTTTTTTCTTGGTGATAGTGTCTGAAGCTGAAATTTCTAGGGAGGCTGCTGACATGGAAATGAACAGAGAAAAATATGTTGAAGAATTGAAGAAAGCACTGATATTTGGAGAAGAATCAGCTGGCAAATACAACTTCACCGTTTCAGTGGATGAAGAAAATGCACAGTGTCATTTCTCCTATGAAAGAAATCTGAAAGATGGCTCTGTAAGTATGATTAAATGCTTAAATTTGACTCTTAATTATGAGAAGAATCTTGTTGGTATGTTTCTGTATTTTAATTTATTTAAAATCAAATACAATTATTATACTTATTTCAGATTGAATAAACATGTTGACCTCAACTTTGGTTTAAATTAGAAAAGAACTTGTAGTTTCCTGTCAAAACCTATCAAATAGAACTATTTCTTTGATACGTCTATCCTAAATGTAAAAAATAAGAGTATTACTTCTCTAATTTAAATTTATTGTGTGTGTTCCATACATTGCAATTTTGTTTTTAACTCCTAGCTTCCCTCCCTCTTCAAATTCAGGCCTCTAGTGCTTTTCTACTTCTTGTTTCTTTTTTCCCTTTTCCTTTATACTTGTCTAAAAAACTAATCTAAGGAAATCCTGCTTGCTCCTACCCTTCTTTCTCTGAAATTAAAAGCAGTCCAGTTGCTAAGTGTTGTAACTGTGTCATCAGTGCTGTGATAATTATTGAGATTACTGACTTCTCAACCACATCAGTGAAATCATTTGACTGTTAGGACAAATAGCTCTTCGGACTGGACTGTGGGCCTAATCACATTCAGGGCACAGTTCTTCTGTCAGTTTATTGGTGTAATTATGGGGAAGAAAATTATGGGCAAAGAGCAGAAACAAGATTGCAGATAAAGAAGAGCAGCAGTATCTTTGGGCAGGTATTTCATTCCTGCAGGAAAAAAAAAATCCATAATGGAGTAATTCCCAGAAGGAAATTATCTAAGGATTTTCCCATCTGTTTTTTGTTTGGTTTTTAATAGAAAAGATTTCTGCTTCAGAGTATTGAGGCATACCTTGCTCTTCCTTTGACTAATTTTGTCATGTATCAACTTTTAAGAAATTAACATAAAACAAAGAAACCAACCCTACAGGAGCTACCTTATCTGGAATAAAACAAAGAAACCAGCCCTAACAGAGCTACCTTATCTGGAATACTTCTGTTGTAGATCAAAGTATTCTTTTCTCTAAATTGGAAGGAAATTAAGAATGTATCATGGAGTTGAGTTACAAACCTGAAATGGGAATACATGTATATTTCATGTATGTTGTGTCTTTTAGGTGAGATGAGGGTAAGTTTCCTGTAAAGTGAAGGCCATTCGCTAACTTGCAGCAACTCACTTAAGTGCTTCAGAAGCCAAGCTCAGATTCTTAACTATACTTTAGTAAGTGGAGAAGGAGAGATTCAGTGGCATGAAGTTAGGCCTCTTAAAAGTGCTTCATTATAGCCTAGACTTTTTCCTCACACAGTTTAGGAAATTTCGAGCTTTTGATTAAGGTGCCCAAAAATTAGGTGATACAAGTCTTTCAAGCTGTATTATCACTTCTTCTGTGTATTTACACAAGACCTTATGGGCTCTGTATCACTTTCTTAACACTTCTTGTACACACACCATTCTTATTGCTGTTCACAAAAGCTCTAGGCTTAAGTATGTATACTACATACTGTATTGCAGCAGTATTACAAGGCTAGGACCAAAATTTTACTTAGAAAATAAGACCAGTAATTTTAGCAATCTTGTTTTTCTTGTCTGTGTCACACGTAATATATTCTAAATACCAGACAGATGAAATACATACTATATTTTATTAAGGGAAAATATCTTCATATATATGGGCCACCTAATATGTTTCCATCAATTAAGGCTTATGAGAAACTTAATTCACATGAAAACATCTTTATGTCAGTTTGGGAAAATAATCTGGCCAAAGTAATTGAAAATAAAGTGTTCTGATTGCTGTATGTGCTTTTGAGCTTGGGCATCAAAACAGTAGTTTGTGTTTCTTGGGTGACGACACACCTTTTTTTCCTATGTATTATACTAATGCTACCAATTAAATTGCCAGAGTCTCTGTCAGAAATATAAATAATTTTCATGTATACAATAGAATATGTTTCAAACAATTTCTGAAGTCTCTGGGAAAGTATTCATGGTGTATATCTTTTGGCATCACATAAGGAAATAATCTTCTTGAGCTCTGTACGTCCTGAGGGCTGAAATTCACTTAAATGTTTTTTTGCTACTAAGAAAACCTGGAGAGACTTCCTGCAACTTAAACACAGAATTTTAGTCATGTTTGTTTCTTACCAGCAGTTATTTTTCTAAACAAATGTATATCTATAACTTGTTTAGTCAGTATGAGTATATTCTTTTTCCTATTCCAGCAAATGGGTTTATACGTACAAACTAAAATCTTCCTAGCGTTCAGAAGAGCAGTTTTCTTCTTTAGTGGGGGATGGTGTAGCTGTTGATTGAAATGCACAACTAGCAAAAGAAATGCAGTACTTTTTCAGTCAAGCAGAAAGATTTGTTAGTCTTTGTATTCTTACATAAAAACTTAATCATGAGGGAAAAGGAAGCAATTATTTCCAATTTTGACAGCACTGCACATCATACTTTAAGTTCTCTACTTCTCTCTTACCTCATATTATCAACCTCCATTGTGAGAAAGGTCTATTGAATTATCAGAAATAATTAGAAGATCAGTATTCTTAAGTCAGTATAGTAATAGATATATCACAAAGGGAGAAATTCTGGGAAAGTATGCATAAAAACATAGTTGATTGGATCTTGGAATACTGAACTTTTTTTTTTTCTTTTAGTCTTAATGAATATACTTAGCACTTTTTATTAAAAAAATAATTAAAAAAAAAACAAAACTGAAAAGTAGTGATATAATTTGTGAACTAGAAAAAGGGTATCAGCTTGTGCAATTAATATTGCTAATTATTTTTACCTACTGAATATACAGATGCTTGTTTTTGTACACTGGGAAAATCCACATGCCTTTTGTTAGATGCACCTGAATACTTGTATACACAAAATTTATCTTAGTTATTTTTCATGAAACTTACCAACAGCATGGTATTGGTTATGTACAGTAACTTATGCCTACCTTCACCAGTAATTTCCAATGCAGTGCTTTGTCACAGTACTCCATCCAGTGTTGATAAACCTCTAATTCCTATCAAAAATTAAGTATGAATTTCCTTTGGGGAAAAAAAAAATCATTTACTTTTTCCATTCTAAATATATCATAGGTTCAGTTGAGTTATGGCCTGGTGCCTTACATTGAAATGGTACATCCGTGGTAACTACAACAGATAGAAAGAGCACGATAAAACTATTTGTTAGAGGAAATTCTGAGCTAGAACAAAACATTATTTTTTGACATAGTCACCAGCATTAGCTATGCATTTTTGCTGGCAATGAACAAGAGACCGTATGCCACTCTCATAAAAAATCTGCACCAGTGGAAGTGACCTACTGGTCACCACTGCTGAAACACGCCACCCACTGCCTCACTGTGCCACTGTACTCACATCCATTCTTTGGTCTCCATAAATGTTCAGCAAGTGTTGATGAATGTCAACAGGTATGGGTGTTTTTTTTTTTTTTGTTTTTTTTTTTGCATAGAGAAATTCAGTGACACACTTTTATGTCATCTGCACTTCTTTGTCAGACAGCATTCTGTCATATTGCCCCTCTGCTGCCATCTGTCATATGGCAACAACTTGTAACAGGATAGAGTTGGGAAGGTTCAGCCTCTACTTTCGTACCAACATCTGCCTCTGATGTAGTGAGCCAATGTAATAAAACAGGAGGCATTACTTTCAGAGCATCCCTTGTATATATCCCTCAGTATACAAATAATAGCTGGCTGAATCTGTAACATGTATAACCCAATTGCAATGGGCATGTTAAAAGCAGCTTAAATAATTTATGGTGAAGGCCAAGGAGACACGCAACAGTTTAGGAAGTATATGAAAGCACGTTGTATGGCGTAAACCTTTGCAGTTTGTAAGACAAGTCACATCTTTTTCTGTTTCCTTGTTAAGAAAACACATATTTAGATAAAGGAATAATCTGAAATAAATATTTTAATGCATTTATTGTTCACAGTAGCTAAAAATAACATGGTGTTTGCTATTTTTTGTTACTTCAGTTGGCAAAAAGTGTCTGAGAAAGCAGCAAATAGCAATAAAATAGAACTGTCTTTTTACATACAATAACCATGTGGTAAAGGCATATTGCTATAGCTTTGTATACCATCTTTGTATATTTATTGTTCCCTGTTTTCTCTTTGTGGGTATCTGCGTATGTGGAATATATTTCATATACAGTTAGCTTCCTGTGTATAGTACTACAAACACTCAAAATCTGTCATAAAAACAAAAGTTTTCATCTGGCAGGTGGTAAATCTTCTGTGGTTTATTAGTTCAATTGGAACTTAGTGTTTAAAGCATAAAGGCTAAAAAAGCTTTTCAAAAGTGGTGTGGAACAGAAATTTAATGGTTGGTTGATATAAAGTTAGTTATGCCAACAATATTCCTTGATTTTTATCCTGATGATCTCCTTCTTCACTTTGGTAGTTACATTTAAATATATGGTGTGTGTGTGTATACATATATATATAAACACACACAGGAGTGTTTAAATCTGCACTACCCTGTTCTTCTGTTGTTGTCTTATTTGTTCTTACTTGTGTTTGCAGATCTGTTTTCCAATCTTCTGATAATGCTATCTGTTGATGACTTTCGCCTAGTGACTGGTAATACTCACTTGATGATAAAATGTGCTAGCTACTGAAATTTACTTCCCATAAGTGCAGTAAACTGTCATTCTGAAATTACTTCTAACACTTTTGGTAGCAGTTTGGGAAGTATCTACCAAACTCAAATAAAAGTGCCAAAGCTACATTGGGTGGTCTACAGGAGTGCAAAGAAGAATAATGAAGTGACGTTAAGTGAAGGAAAAATGTAGGCATACTATTAGGAAATACTTTCTAATGTTGAAATTTGTTTAACTGTTGAAGCATTGGCCAGAGGAAGTGGTAGCAGCCCCACTGCGTCAGGCATGTAAAGCTGGATTGGTCAAAGAAATGGAAAATGCACTGTAAGAAATTATGCTGTATTGGCAGTATCATGTATTAGATGACCTAATAGGTATTTTCCACCCCTAAAACCTATGAGTCTCTGCTTGCTTGACCAGGCTATAATACATATGAACTCTGCTAGCCTGTGATGTGATGAACTTCTTTACTGTAGAAGTAATATTTACATCATGTCCATGCCATAACATGTACATGTGCTTGAAGGTTGAAGACCAAGAGGACAGAGAACATAGTTTCTGCAAGTTGCCTCATGAAGACAGGTATATCATCCTCCTTCAAGTGCCACAGTTTGTTCAAAGCTTAATGTGCCTTCTGTTGTCTGGATGGAAAGTTTGACACTGGTATGACTGATTCTCCACTATAACAATAAGGGTTGGCAGTTTAAATGTTTCACTGAGGAAAACTTACAAACAAGCCCATAAGGATTGTTTTGGCTTTTCTTTCCCAGCTGATATAGAAGAATAATTATTCTTTATTTGTTTATGGAAGTAAATAAGTTCAGAGTTGACTACAGATTACTTCTCCCTCTGTAATGCTGGATCCATAAGGATGGAATTACCGTTATTATCCAAACCCCTGTTTTGCAAACCATGGAGACATGCAGCAGTTTAGGGGGAATAAGAAGGCAAGCTGTGTCCAGATGTAAAATTCTTGTGACCATTTTTTTTACTCTTCCAGTCAGCATAAGTATCGAGGACTCATAGACAGCATCTGCAGTGTCTTTCTGCTGCTTATGATCCAACTCACCTGTTGTTTTGTTGATGAACAGGTAGAGTCCTCCTGTGAACTGATTTTCATCATCAAAACTAGATAATTTCAATCACTCCACTATCTTTCTGGTTGAGTGAAACCAAAACTACGTTATCAAATCCTCATAAAGGTGTTATATATTTTGCATTTTTATATATTAAGCATTGTGAAGATTTGCATCATAAGTGGATCTACTTAGGTCATGATTTTTTTGTTTTGAATGGATGGAAAACTTCCAGACGTCATAAAGAATTTCTATCTGATTGAGAGGAAAGATCTATATAGTATATTTATTAGTGTTATATTAAAAGCGTCAGAGTAAGAATCACAATTTAACATAAAGAAAATCCATAAGGATTTTAGCATGTTCATGCTTAGCTTTTTTGAAAAAGTGGTAAAAGAACAGGAGTTGTAGGAATACTACTTC